CTCAGCCAATTTTGAAATTGGCATGGTGTCCTCAATATCAATCCGAGTCACCGTTGCCTTTGGCTGAGCCTTCTTTATCCTTTTTTTCGGCTTTGGCTGAGATGGTGCTGGTTCAGCGTCAACAGTGGTCGGGATGTTGGCCAAGAGGTCCTTAGCAACTTCTTTCTGACGGCCTATCTCAGCGGCAAAAACTGTTCGGCATCGTTGACGGCGTTAAGATAGTGGGATCAGATATGGAGCCGAGGTTGACGGCTGCTCTGCTGGATCAGAGGTCGATCCTTGATTTGGCCGAGATGTGGAGGCAGCTTGAGGAGTTGTGGCAGAAGAGAGAGATTGGTTTTTCTTCCTCTTTGGGACGTCGGGGAGTACTGATTTGTAGGTTGGGATAAAGTTGAGTACCAAGGGGGCTCTGCGCTTGTGAACTGGCAGATTCAGTAGCTTCTTCAAATCCCTGCTGGGGAAAAAGGACTTGCGGAAGCCCTTTGGTGGCTAAGGAAGAACTGCAAAAAAAAGAAAAGCACAGACGTTAGAACATACAAGAAGAATAAGTCTTAAACTGCTTGAAAAAGTAAGTCCGTGTAAAAATTGACCCTTACCATTACCCTCTACAAAAACTGTTCGACTGAGAGGGTAGAAGTGGAGGTCCTTATCTGGAGCAAACTCCCAGTTGCCCGAGACAATGAAATAATCGTCTCCGACACCCTTGTTTGAATCTGGGAGGTCAGCAATGATCTTGTACTCAGTAGACCTCGGCTTGAGGTAGTAGACATGGCCTTTTTCCAATTTTAGGCGACACATGGTGTAGCAGTATTGAATATCGGCTAAAGTGACCCTAGCGTTCTCTTGTTTTGCTAAAGCTATTATACCATTGATAACTCGATAAGAGTTAATGGCAAGCTGCATTGGGTTCAATTTGTAGAAATGAAGAACTTCTCGGAAAAGGGTGTCTAAAGGAAACCTAAGTCCACATTCAATAAAGGCAGCAACAGGGAAGGGCATGAGGTTCACATCGGGCATAATGGAATCTTCCTCCCCTGCCAACCTAAGGTGGACGTCGGCAGGGATGGAAAACTCCCGCCTAAAGTATTCTAATTTGGTCGGGGTGTCTATCCTATGCTTCCACATACCCATGATGTCGGCTTAACTAAAGGAGATGGATTTCAGAAGGGAGTGTTCTGGAGGGTTTTAGGGATCTCGGCTAAAGCCTAAAAATACACAGAATCTGTGGGGAATCGTTTCAGTTTCCCTAAAAATTTGTGGGTTCTACAAACAAATCCCAAACCTAGATCTATGGAAACGAGGATTAAAGGCACGAATATGGAAAAGTCACAGAAAACAGGAAAACAAGAATGTGTTTCAGAATCAAGAATAGTGGTGAACTATCAAGTAAACAGTGACAAAATGTGCACAAGGGCGCGAGACCAAGGACAATGGCAAAAATCAACAAGTGTGTGAACAGTGTGAATTCAAGAAACGGATGGGGCTACAGAGGCAAAGCAGTGGAGTTCAGTAAAACAAAAAAGAAACTGAAACAAGAAGTTAAATCGGGAAGAAACAGTAACTCATCGAAGAAAATAAGCCAGAGTTGAGTTCGCCGGGATCAAGCGGTAGCCGGAAGCAAGGAAATACGGCAAAGCCTCGCCGGAGGAGAGAGTCAGGCTGGTCGCAGAAAGCTTTGTGAAAGCAGCAATGGAGGACTTGGGAGAAAAAGCTAGAGAGAGAAAAAACTTCAGAAATAACGATGTAAAGTGAAAAAACGAAGAGAGAGAACACTGGTTTTGTTAAAAACGCGAAAAGGCGGCAAAATGGAATTGATGAGCCTAGAATGACGAATTTGTCAGACGGCACACGCAGGCGCGAGACAACTTACAGGCACGTATCGAATACGATCAAATGAGGAGAAGACACGTGACAAAAACGGTTGATGTATTTTGCATAACAGCTCACATGCGTAATAAAACTTTTGGAGTTCTTGGTTTAATGAAGCAATGACATCGGCTGATAGGAAAATCCCGGCTAAATAAACTCGAATAAGCTTGGTTAAAGATTCTGAAACCTTGATGACACAAGATTGCAAGACCTGGTTGTGTGAAGCCGATGTATTATGACCTCGGTAAATGGATAAAACAGCAAGATAGCCGACATCCTATACGATATAACAATATAGGTTCCATCACCTCAGGATGCCGTGGTAATAGAACCTAGGGGGCAGTTGTGGGGACATATTTTCTAAGTACCAACACGTGGCCAAGGTGATGCTGACGTGTCAGTCGAGGTGCCACGTGTCCTAGTTGTGACGCCGAGGTTATCTCTGAAGATATCGGAATTCGAGATAAGCAGATGAGGGACAAGAATCCTAGAGTGAGGAAGAACTTCAGCCTAGATAAGAATAAAGCTCTTAGAGAGTTTATCTTTATCTAATGGAGAGTCCAGGATAAGCACTGAGTAGAAATCCATTAAAGCTAGGCTTCTGTTGGGACTGAGTTTGTGTTGGCTATAAAAGAAAGGTATCCCCATGGGTCTACGCAATTTATACTCTGAACAGTAAATTAAGCAATTGATTTATCTTTGAGAGATAACTGACTTGATCGTCGGAGTGCCCTCGGGTGGACAAACCACCGCCGGAATCTCTTCTTTTTGTTGCAGGTCAATCAGACGCCATACCTAGATCTATGGAAACGAAGATTGAAGGCATGAATTTGGAAAGGAAACAGAAACAAGAATATAATTTAGAGTTAAGAACAGTGATGGATCATCAAGAAATACAAGACAAAAGTTTGCGCAGGTGTGTCAGGTCAAGAACAGTGGCAAAAATCAACAAGGGTGTGAACAGTGTGAATTCAAGAAACAGATGGGGCAAAAACAGAATCATGAGACAAACATATAGTGGAAAGCAAGATACAAGTTGAAATATCAAAGATATGAGCAGAATTACAGAGGCAAAGTAGTGGAGTTCAGTAAAACAAAAAAGAAACTGAAACAAGAAGTTAAATCGGGAAGAAACAGTAAGTCATCGAAGAAAATAAGCCAGAGTTGAGTTCGCCGGGATCAAGCGGTAGCCGGAAGCAAGGAAATACGGCAGAAGCCTCGCCGGAGGAGAGAGTCAGGCTGGTCGCATAAAGCTTCGTGAAAGCAGCAATGGAGGACTTGGGAGAAAAAGCTAGAGAGAGAAAAAACTTCAGAAATAACGATGTAAAGTGAAAAGACGAAGAGAGAGAACACTGGTTTTGTTAAAAACGCGAAAAGGCGGCAAAATGGAATTGATGAGCCTAGAATGACGAATTTGTCAGATGGCACACGTAGGCACGAGACAACTTACAGGCGCGTATCGAATACGATCAAATGAAGAGAAGACACGTGACAAAAACGGTTGATGTATTTTGCATAACAGCTCATATGCGTAATAAAACTCTTGGAGTTCTTGGTTTAATGAAAGCAATGACATCGGCTGATAGGAAAATCCCGGCTAAATAAACTCGAATAAGCTTGGTTAAAGATTCTAAAACCTTGATGAGACAAGATTGCAAGACCTGGTTGTGTGAAGCCGATGTATTATGACCTCAGTAAATGGATAAAACAGCAAGATAGCCGACATCCTATACGATATAACAATATAGGTTCCATCACCTCAGGATGCCGTGGTAATAGAACCTAGGGGGTAGTTGTGGGGATATATTTTCTAAGTACCAACACGTGGCCAAGGTGACGCTGACGTGTCAGTCGAGGTGTCACGTGTCCTAGTTGTGACGCCGAGGTTATCTCTGAAGATATCAGAATCCAGGATAAGCGGATAAGGGACAAGAATCCTAGAGTGAGGAAGAACTTCAGCCTAGATAAGGATAAAGCTCTTAGAGAGTTTATCTTTATCTAATGGAGAGTCCAGGATAAGCACTGAGTAGAAGTCCATTAAAGCTAGGCTTCTATTGGGACTGAGTTTGTGTTGGCTATAAAAGAAAGGCATCCCCATGGATCTAAGGTATAGGGCTGAGCAAGGAATCCGTGAAATTCGTAATCCGATCCAATCTAGTCCAATCCAGTAGGTTTGGATTGGTTTTTTGAATCCGTGGTTTGGTTCCGGATTGAAAAATTAAAAATCCGTAGTTCACGGATTGGTTCCGGATTGGAACCGATCCGGACCGTATACAAATAGTCTATATTTTTATTATACTCCCTCATGCATAGTATCTTCTCTTATTTCATATAAAACTTAAATCCAAGCCTAAACTTGCATAGTATCTTCTTTTATTATTTTTGTTTGCTAGTTTTTAGTGTTAATTTGTAATGGTCTAAATACTTATGGTGGAACTAATTTTCTTATGATTGTTTAAATTCTAAAACAGTTTGTCGCTATTATGAAAAGACATGTTGCTATTGTGAAACTAATATGGTACTATATTTATATTTTTATGAAATTAAAGTCTTATATATATTTTTTTGTTATTTAATTATGCAAATCCGTGGTCCTAAACCGATCCACTCTGTGTTTAAATGGATTGGTTCGGATTGGTTCCATGATTTAGATGGATTGGATTGGTTCCAATTTTTCAGGATCCGTAGATAACGGATTGGTCCTGGTTTTACTCCAATCTGGTCCAATCCGGGCCATGCTCACCCCTACTAAGGTACGCAATTTATACTCTGAACAGTAAATTAAGCAATTGATTTATCTTTGAGAGATAACTGACTTGATCGTCGGAGTGCCCTCGGGTGGACGAACCACCGCCGGAATCTCTTCTTTTTATTGCAGGTCAATCAGGCGCCATCTATTCTGTCAGTGCTCTCTAGCTAAACACTGAGTTAACAGTGTGGTCAGAAATTGACACATACAGAAAACTATAGAGTTGTACATAGCCGTAGTTTTCTGGGGCATGTCCCCTTGCAAGTATGTGTATTCCATTCATAATATATTTTTTATTATTTATTTAAGTCAAATTAAAATTAAAATGGAATTTTTTTATGAAATAACTCCTTTATATCTTATTTCCGTTCAACCAAACACTACACAAACACGTGAGTCTCATGTGTTGTTCCCTAACCTCACATCAGATGGGATGCCCACAAAGGGAAAACATCTGAACAGACACATTGGTTTGAGTGTGTATGAAAGCGCAAACACACACACCTGTCGAAATTTTCATGTCCTGTTCGTTTGGATTTTCTCTGTGCAAAGGCTGGAAGAAAAAAATGGCCACTCGCAGAGTGCCAGACGTTGTTCCTCCTCCTTCTGAAGACTCTGAAAGACTCAAGACTGCTTTCAGGGGTCTGTCGCTCTCTCTCTCCACCTTCCTTCTCTATTGTTGTGGGGGTTTCCTTGATTTTCTATCTCTAATTGAAAATATAGACTCTTTTTTTGGATGTTAGGTATATTTTCTGTTCTGTTGTTTCATTACTTTGAATTTTCTGATATGGGTCATCAAAATCAATGGATAATTGTATGCATGCCTTTATATTTCTATATATATGCTTCTATCTTACAAGGGCCAAAGAAACATGGAGACATGAATGTTTCTTGAAGTTTCTTGATTTCTTTTAATTGTTAGGATGGGGAACGAACGAGAAGACAATCATAAGGGTGTTGGGGCATAGAAATGCAAACCAAAGGAGGAAAATCAGAGAAACGTATGAGCAGATTTACAAGGAATCTCTGATTGATCAACTCCATTCTGAGCTCTCTGGTGATTTTAGGGTATATTTTCTTTATTCTTTTTTCTTTATACCCCCAACCCAATATTATTCTAATCCAAAATGCATTTTCCAATCCTCAATTTCAGCTCATAAAATAATAAACCCCCAATCTTCAATTTTTTTTTTTTTTTTTTTTGGTTGTTGTTTCAATTCCTAATTTTGTTTTAGCCCTTCTTAATTTTAGCAGAAAGGGCCACAGTCAATTTTAACCAAGTTTTAACGAGATAGATGCTGGATTCATGGCAGTTTTACTGACCAACTTGACTGCCTTATTCAAAAAGTTCAAATTCCATGAAGTCCATTTATCTTTCAAATGTTAAACTCTAAACTGGCTTGAAAAATCCTGAAAAGATTTTTGAAATCATCACTGTTTTACACTTAACTATGATCTAGGTGCGTATTGGGATAAGGGGTTATATATTAATTCTAAAACATCTCTAGGTGTATGACAGTAAGGGGAAGTTGCTGTCGGAAGCATGTGATTTTCGTTCACAGTAAATGATTTTCTACTCCCTCCTGCTTGACTTAGAATTGGCAGAGAAAACATTTCATCTCATCATTCAGAAATGCATCTTCTATCTTGTTAAGGCATCTCTATACATGTCTTTTAATTGAAGCAAATGCATTAACAGGATCTTCATTCTTTCGGTGAGATTGTAAATGGATGCAGTTTGCATTCAAAGAAGGGAGTGTATTTAGAGTAAAGTGAAGTGGGAATAGCGGCTCCCTTCCTAAAACGTTGATGAAATATAAAAAAATTGGAGTGAAACTTTGCCTTATAGATTAGATTAGATGCATCTAAAAAGTAAATTTAGATTAGGTATATGAAACAAGTAAACAAATTTGACTATAATATTACAAAAAAGTTTTGACTACAAACAAAAAAAACGCAAGACCCAAAAAAACTCAAAAACTAGTTTTGAAAACTCATAACCAAACAAGTTTTAAATTCAATTTTCTAAAAACTATTTTCAAAATATACAACTCAAAAACTAGTTTGAAAACTCATAGCGAAAAAGATTTTGAAAACTAATTTCAATACTAAACTAAACGCACCCCAAGGCTTTATTTTCTTATAATTGAATCAAAAATTGAGTTGATTACAATAAAACTACTACGTTTAAGACCAAATCAGACTTGTTTAATATTAATAGTTTTAATTATATCGCACCTGTTCTAACCTAGTTTTTCATATTCTAATAAATTATTCGTAGTCCTGATATTGCAGATGATTTTTATTTTAAGCAACTTTAATCTGAGATTGCAGAAAGCAGTGATATTGTGGACATATGATCCTCCTGAGAGGGATGCGAGGTTGGCTAATAAGGCCCTCAAGTCTGGAAAGCAGAGAATAACTCAACTTCAAGTAATAGTTGAAATAGCATGTGCAACATCTCCTCACCATCTCATGGCAGTGAGGCAGACCTACTGTTCTCTCTTTGATTGTTCACTTGAAGAAGACATTTTTGCATCAAATGCCGACCTACCTGTTAGAAAGGTGATGTCAAGTTCACTCACTCTCTCACTCACTCACTCACTCACTCACTAATAATGATATAATGACAATGATAATCATGTAGGGTAGGGTAGGGTAGGATATGCACCCGAAAAAGGTAGGGTACGGTACAACTACAACCAGTAGAGTAGCACTCAGATGTTGTGTTGCAAGCTACAAATTTTGGTTGGAGCTTTTGGAGTCTTATATATGATTGGAGTTGAATATTGTAATGTGGTGGTGGATATTATTGCACCAGGTTCTGGTTGGTTTGGTGAGTTCCTACAGATATGATAGAGAAGTAGTGGATTTGAACATGGCAAATTCAGAGGCAGCTAAGCTACGTGATGCTATTGAAAGAAAGAATCTAGATCATGATGATGTGGTGTGGATACTTAGCACTAGAAATGTTTCTCAACTCAAAGCTACTTTTGAATGCTATCACAAAAACTATGGAAATAACATCTACCAGGTTCAGCTTTGACAGAAAATTAATTATCTGATATATATATATATATATTTGCTTGATTTATTTAGACAAATATCTTGACAGGACATTAAGAGTTGTGGAAATGGCATTTTGGAGGCTGTATTGAGGGTCGCAATTTGGTGCATGGACTCCCCAGAAAAACACTTTGCTGAGGTAACTGGATACATCTAACTCCTTTAATTTTCTAAATTGTATTTGTTTCTTTCTTAATATTATTGTAGCCACCGACATCAAGAATGTTTTCCTTTCACTAAATAAATATCATCCAATTTGTATTTAAAAATTTTTTTTTTTTGGTTTTTAGAGAAGCGTCAAGCTGATTTTTCTTTAAAACCAGAAAAGTAAACCAGAAAATTATTTTTCTTTAATTTTTCTTTCTGTGAAATGTTTTAAATTTCCATTCTTTCTTGCTCGAAATATCACCAGGTTATTAGAGCTTCAATTGTTGGCCTTGGAACTGATGAAGATTCACTAACAAGAGCTATTGTAACTCGAGCTGAAATTGACATGATGAAAATCAGAGGAGAGTATTTCAACGTGAACAAAACTAACCTCGACGATGCAGTTATTGGCGACACTTCAGGATATTACAAGGACTTCTTGATGACCTTGCTTGGAGCAAGAATCTAAGTCTATGTGCCTTCCTGCCTGCCTAGACAAACCCCTCTCTCTTCTCAAACTATATGCTTCATCTATGAACTGGGATTGATTGATTTCATTGTCCTGTTTGGAATAAATTGCAAGTGGTGTGTGCAGAAGAAAATATTCTAGACTTGAAAACCCAATGAGATAGATTACTTTTTTTTTTTTTTCGTAATGTATTATGCAATTTGATTGTTTGTACATATAATATGATATGATATGATATATGTCATCGATCTGTCATGGGTGCCTCTCAAGTGCACAATTGTTACCAGTTACCGTGTCGTGCCATCAAAAGTGAAAAATATACAACTGTTTCCCTTGTGTTTCCGTTTCGATTTTGTTACTTGGGAAGTTTTGATCCCAATTGTTAATCATAGCATGAGAACAAAAACCCAGTAGTACCTTCCTAATATTAAAACATGGACCCTTTTTTCCGTATTTAAATTAAAAGGTGAGACTACATTAACCGCCTATGTCATCAAGAGGAGAAGATCCAGTAGTGGAGGGGCGTTGGTTTAGCTCTGGCAATTTCCAACGCTCAAGCAACTTTCCAGCAATTTCCGGCAAGATGTAAAAACACTTTCGAAGTCAACATCTAAATTTTTTGTCTAGAAAAAGGGATCTGAGAGTTTCTCTTCTGATTTTTAGCACATATTTTTAGATTTTCAACACTCACAATGATTCCCTCTCTTTAAATCCCCAGCTCTTATTGTTATGGGTATTCTTCTTAACTCTAGCTTTCCACGACGGCGGGGCTAAGCTTCTTGTAGATATAGATTTTGTTTTCCAAACCACATCTATGAGTAATGATTTTTAATTACCGCCGTTGGTTTTTTGATGAATTTCTTAGTTTATTGTCGTAGTTTAGTAGGTTTTCTTGTTTGATCATTTTGTTTTCCCTTTAAGTGTTTTATACGATAATTTTTATTTTAATATAACTGCTTTATAACTTTTCTAAAAAAACATTAACCACCTTTTGCTTCCAGGGGGTTAGGGATATTGTCCCCCCTGTCCCACCCAAAAAACAGAAGAAAAAAAAAAACCATTGTTCTTCAAGGGCATATGAATTGAAGGATTATTTTTTATACTGGTGATTATTATTTGATCAAGACCTTTATTATTTAATAGGCATATGCATATTAGGCTGCAAACATAGTGCCCCACCCTACTTCTAAGAAAATTAGCACCCAATTTATGAAATCAAGATTTATTAAGAAATAAAGAATGAAGTAGTTCCAGTTTCGGTCTTCAATTGCCCTCCCTCTCCTCACCTGGATAGATGATATAAGGGGATCAAATAGAGTGATGACTGTACATACTCTTTTAACAATTGATGGGACTCGGAGGAAGAACAAAAGACTTTGATGCTGTGTTTGGTTGGGGGATTTGGGAAGAGATTTGGAAAGGGAAAGGGAAAAGGTGTGTGAAACTATGTGAAATATAATTTGTTTTATTCACATTTCACCTACCTTTTCCATTTCCCTTTCCAAATCCCTCTCCAAATTCCCCAACCAAACACACCATGACAGATAGTCTTTGGTAACAGAAGAGAAGAGAAGGACCACATAGCAGAGAGGATTAATCAGCTAAAGAGCTAGCTAAAGAAATATATATTATCTCTATTGCATAACATTAGTCCTCTAAAATCTAGATACAAAAGAAGCAAAAATAAATAATTAGCATGAATAGATAAAGGAGGAGACAACAACCCTTTGTGTTTTGTTAAATGCCATCTAAACAGAAACAGCTGCAGAGCTTCAAAAATGAGGGAGGCAAATGCATTAATTCCCATGTTGTGCAATGTTATCACAAGGCTTTGCACATCAAGTGAACCCCAGTGCTGCAGCAATAGCCTACTCCGTGAAAAGCCGACCACTTGCTCATTTCCATATTTTTTTTTTGTAGGTAAGTCATAAAATAAAATAATAAAATATACAAGTTTACAAAGGACATACCCCAGACTATTCATACAATCCAAACAATATTCTATAGCATCCCCCTAAGATAGGGGGGAGATGTACTAAATCAAAATACAATCATAATGTGTTGCTAATATATTTTTCCCCTAGTTACTTATGCCATCAGTAAAGAAGGCAAAGAAACTAGGAGCAATTTATTAGTACCACTAACACAATGGAATCCTACCGCAACAGTAATGATACACCAACACATTTGTCTACATATCTTTTATATCCCCAAGTTGCCAATAGATGGGAACTTAGGAAACATGTAGGAGCAAGTATACAAATAGTGAACCACATAAAACTATTAAGCACCTAAAAGATGCACCTACTAAAACAAGAATAAACAAGCTAAAACAACCACAAGACCAACCAAAATATGATAACCACCCCCACTTGCTTCCAGTTCAAACACGGAAGAAAACGTGGAGCCCAATAAGCATCTCATATCCTCATAGCAGTGACGAAGGAAAAAATTTACCCCATGAAGGGTCACGGTCAGTTACCATAATCAACAGCGTTAAGGAGTATAGCGAACCAAGAGCCACCACATCAACAATATAGCAGGTAAAGCTAACCACACCATGTGAGCACTCAACACATCCCCCAATCCATTCCTCAACTAATCACAAAGCCTCAATCCCCACGGCAATGTCCCTTTCGCTCCATGTCGAGAGTGGCTTAAAGACCAATACCTAGATCAGTCACATGAAGATAAAGAAGCTGTAGATATGCTAATACACAGCTAAGGTTGAATATCACCGCACAAGGGCTCAACAAAGAACTAAACAAAGTCCAATTGAGGACATAAGTCAACTGATCGCATCGGCATTTAACCGCAAAGAAAGACTTGCCAAGCCAGAATAGTAAGCCTGAGCATGGCTGCTGAACTCCTCATGTATATGCACCTCAAACCGTGGTTGCGGAACACGTTGAAGGAGAGAAGGGAAAGCCACTTAGATCTTGAAGGTTAAACCACTCAAGCAGATTGAGTACTCATGGCAGAACACGTAAGACGGAAACCCAGTTGCTTGAAGTCCACTATCTAAACCAATAAAACACAAACACAATCCTATTCTTGATAAAATAAGCAAACCACAGCCCACCATTAATACCATACCCCTTGGTGTGCGAGTCAAGCTAACAACCCAAGCTAATACCATACCCCTTGATAAAATAAGTAAATGGTAGGCCCAACTTCACAGTTTAGCCCAGCCAACAACCCTTAGCAAAATCCATACCCCTTGGTGTGTGAGTCAAGCTAACTATAAAATCACAGTTTAGCCCAGCCAACAACCCTTAGCAAAATCCATACCCCTTGGTGTGTGAGTCAAGCTAACTATAAAATCCATCATGATATGCTTCTACTTCTATTATGGAATAAAAAGAGATTAAAGTAGACTGGTTGGTTTTTCGTGTTCCACTTTAACTTGTTAACATTGAAGGCAATGAGAAACAAATGTTGCAATGTCCCTTTTCATGTTCAACCACCAATAAGCTTGTTTGAGGTTTTGATACATTTTGGTGTTCCCGAGGTGGACTGCAAATTTAGCGTGGTGTGCTTCTTCCATTACTTTCTCTTTCAACTCTAGCACGTCTAGAACACATAACATACCTTTAAATTGCATGACTTGATTTTTATTGTGAAGCTAGGCGTTGGTAAGGAATCAGTCTCATCATAAACCTTTGAAAAATTCTATTTCCACACACCTACTTATCTCAGTGCGCACCTTAATGAAACATTATTTTAATGACAATTATACCCTAAAGTAAAATGACCATAATGGATATCAAAACACACCTATAGGATGCTTTCAGGGGGTACCCAAGCATGCCCAACAGTTTGGACTCTCGATCTCTTAATCTAGTCTCACAAGTGCAATGTAAAATGTAAATAAGAGTCCAAATCCAACAATTTGTATAGAAAATCCATTTTATTGCAAAATTCTTGCCAGAAATGGACTACATAACCAGATCTCAAAGTCACTACCTAATCTTTTGGGAAAACTAGGAAACCCATGACTTGTGCCAAAGGCCACCGTCCGTCATAACCAAAGTGTTTCGGTTCAGGAACTTAGGTATGAAAAGGGAAGGTCATGAATTGAGAACCCTCGCACATCTGATCAAAAGATTGGTCTCTAGTAAGTCATGAGTTGAGTTTTATAGTCTCCATATGCTCATGTTTTGATTTTTTAACAAATGCCAACATTACTATGTGAAGTAGGCAATTAGAGACTGTGTCACTGATTTTGGTTATACTTTGATTTCACGCATTTTGAAAGGTTTTTAAATAAATGTATAACTCACAAAAAAACTGAGCTCACATGCATATCAATCAATATCATTCCAATATAAGCAACACATGCCTTCTTTGCATAATTTTGTGGGTTGATCATCCATGTGCATTGCATTTCCAAGACCAAATGATTCAAATTTTTGGTATGGTTCATCATTGTCTTTTTCTTCCTCTTCGTTTTTCTCTTCCTCTTCGTCCCTTTTCACTAGAATGTCATATGTTGCCCGAGGTATTATTCTTTGTACAACCCAATAATTGTTGCCAAATTTCATGTCCTTCATATAAAATACTTGCTCAGCTTGGCATGCTAGCACAGACGGCTTATCCTTGTACCAAACTCTCGTAACATTCACACTAATATAGTTATACTCATCAAATTTCATTCCATTTTTTTCATTGCCAACATCCCACCAATCACACTTAAAGAGGAACACTCGATTTCTCCCTAGATATTTCAACTTAACTATATCTCTAATAACTTCATAAAAATCAATAGCTTCTCCTTTATGGTCACCCTTAACAACCACACCACTATTTTGAGTTTTTCGGTTCATCTCACGATCTTGAGTGTGAAATCTGGTCCCATTGAGTGGTAAATTTTTAAATTCAACACATCATTAACCGCAACTCCTATTCCACGTACTTTTTGCTTAAATACAAAAATATGTCCATCTTGTGTACCTTTAATAGGCCCATCATAATTCTGCTCTGGTCTATTAAATTTTGTCTCACATTCGTTGAAGTACACAGAGCAAAAGGTAAAAGCCTCATTATCAATATAACCTTCAACAATAGAGCCTTCTGGATGGGCTTTGTTACACACATAGCCCTTAAGAATATGCATGTACCTCTCAAATTCATACATCTATCGATATTGCACCGGGATTGCTTCACGGGATAGGTGTATGCATGAATGGATCATAATATCGAAAAAAGATAGTGGAAATATCTTCTCAAGCTTGCACAAAATTAAAATATATATATATATCTTTCTCAAGTTGTTCTAAGACATCA